CGGCAGGCGCTGCTCACACTCACTGTTCCCCACCGCCCCAGCCACGCTGGGCAGAGGAAACTGAACCACCACCAGGACCAGCTGAGGCCGGGGTGTCTGAGCCCCCCCCAGCACCCTGCTCCCTCATCCAGCTCCAGCCTCCGCCTCGCCCTCCCGCTCCTCAGGGCGCTGCCTGCAGGGTCACTCGGCCTGCCCCTTGCTCGTGTCTCCGCTCTGCAGGCGCTGCCCTGGGCTGGGTGTTGGCGGCCCGCGGCCCCGAGGAAAGGGAGCTAAGTTTCTACATCGCCACCTCGCTGGCCCTGCTGCTGAGCGCGGCGGGGCTGTACGGGAGCATGCGCGCTCTGGGCACGGACATGGACTGGTGAGTGTCCCTCGGGGACAGGGCCCCTCTGCGCAGCTTCCCCCGGGAGAGACCCAGATCCAGCGTGGCCTGACCGGCCCCGGGACCCCGACACACCCCAGCGGTTCTCCCCGGTCCCCTGGCAGTGCCTTCTGTGGCCTCTCTCCCCTGCCCTCTGCAGGGTGCGGCACCAGACTCCATGTCCCTTGGGCTGAGGGAGGCACCAGGAGGCCAAGTGACCCGAGAGAACCAGGGGGACACCCCCACTCTTACGAGGTGGGCCAGGGGCACTGCCCGAGCCACGCTGCAGCACGCACGGTGCACCCGAGCCAGCATCCCCTTGGTCTGACCCTCAGTAGAGACTCTGTCTGTCCCCCAGCACCGTGGCTCTGCAGAGTCGCTCCGCTGGCTGCTTTGCTGGCCTGCTTGTCCTCAGCCCCCGGCACTGGCTGCAGGGTCACTCGGCCTCTCTACTGGCCTCCAGCCCCCCAGCACTGGCTGTGCAGGGCCACTCGGCCTCTCCACTGGCCTCCAGCCCCCCAGCACTGGCTGTGCAGGGCCACTCGGCCTCTCCACTGGCCTCCAGCCCCCCAGCACTGGCTGTGCAGGGCCACTCGGCCTCTCCACTGGCCTCCAGCCCCCCGGCACTGGCTCTGCACGGGCACTCGGCCCCGCCAA